CTGACCAGCACATATGTAAGGCCCAGCTCGAAGCATAACAAGCAAATCCAGCTTTTGACAGAGTTCGAGAAATGATACTAGATCTGCAATACCCTCAAAAACCAGCTTGCCAGGTTTTGGTTCATGCAGATTCCAAGGAACATAAATTTGGATGGTATTTAAGCCCAAAGCCTTAGCTCGTAAAAGCCTATCCTCCCAATACTGCATTCATAAGATATATACTCAACACATTACCATGTCACCAAAAAAAAAGAATCTTACAAAGAAAATTTCCCTTTTCAATAAACTTGGTAAGTGATATATTGAAAGAAGTACATAAAACTGCATGACAAATGAACAATGAGATAAGATTTCATTATAGAGATCCAACTCTCTTAGCAAAATACAGCTTTAGTAGACAAACAAATATAGAAACAGGGAGAACAATACCTCAGGAAGTACCCGGAAATAATGCACATCGCCACCAATAATCTGAAATGGCTTACCATCTTTCCAGAACATGTCCTCAGCAACCTCGAATTTTCGTTCATTCATCTAACATAAACATAAAACGAAATTTCACCCAACATAAGACCAAAAAAGTAACTTAACTCCAACAATTCAAAACAGTGCAAATGCATACAAAACCAAGAGCCAAACTTCCATTATCCATTAAAAACTTCCTCAATTTCAGATACTTTTTAAACAGTAAACGAACTATTTAAAATTCAATCTTTTTTCTTTTCCTGAGAGCTCCCTCGCTCTCACCAACCAAACAAACATAAAAATATAAACTTTAACATAAAAACGAAACCTTTTTTCTCAAAACTGAACACCAATTCATATAAATATATAAAATCAGAGACGTAATATTACGCTCTTGTGTCGAAGCTGATGATGAGGAGGTGAAAGAGAAGGAAGAGGAGCGAAGACTGGGACCAAGCCACCGAGCAGCACCAGAAAGAGCAAAACGGAGAGGAACGCCGTCGTTTTGGAGCTCCGCCTTCGCATTCCCGACATTGCTGAGAACTTGGTCTTCCCTTTCGTTGACTCCGTTGCAGTGTCAGCCATTTGCAAATCGAATGAACCCGACCACACTGAGGTAACGCATCTTTTGTATTATTTATTTTTCCAATTTCATTTTCGAAGTTTCCAAATTCAGAGAATTTATTCCCGAATAACAGTTTCCCATTCACGTCCCTAAAGTTTAGTCTAATACCTTTCTATAATCATTATGGACAGGGATGTCTATTTTGCCCCGATCGGTTTTGGACCTGAAGAGCCGAAGTGGTCGAGCCGGATAGAACTCAACCCGACATGTCCGTATAATATTATCATCAAGATCAAGAGTTTTTATTATAACATTGGGTGTTTTCGAACATTAGCATTGTTGATGCGTGATTATGGCACCAACCAATCGGCACGTGGGCAACGTTGATTGGACAAGGAACGCACGTGAGTATAGATTATGAATACAAAATAAATGCAATGAGGGTTTTTAAAGTGGTTCGGATGCTAAGGTAGCAAATTCTATATCCACTGATTTGTATTAATATAGGAGGTCAGGTCGCTAAAGCGGACTGACTTACAGATGATTGAAAAGTAGATACAAAAGCGTGAGAGAGAGTTTTTTTGTGTAAAATTGTCGAATCCCCTTAATGAAGGGGTCTTCCTCTTCTTATACCCCGTTGAATGTGCGTAATCATCACTAAATCCTTGGGTTGGTGTGATTGTCAGGACCTAATCTGATTTTACATCCCATTACCCATTTTTCAAGCCGATTTCACTCGATTTGGAGCAGGTTAGCAGACACATGAGAGCACCAGGGCGTTTGGCATGCCCGACGTGAGCTTACCGTTCTAACGGGAGCAGGCCACGTTTCGTCACGCAACTCCACGTCAGCCTTTGACTTCTTAGTCATAACAAGCATAGTATTTGAAAAATTATCTAAAGATTTGGTGCGTTTGTTTCCCTATCTTATTCCTATCATTTCCAAAATACACATTTGTTTCCCTAGTATGAAAATAGTATTATATTTTTTTCAATTATTTTTAAACCTCCTAAGTTTGTTAATTTAATAAAACACCCCTAAAAAAGTTTAGAAATTGACAAAAACACCCCCACCCCCACCATCATCGGAAGGTAGTCGAATTCTGATATAATGGCGCACTACTGACTGGATCTGGCCGATATAGTCATTTTCGGCTAAATCCACTATGGATTTGGCTAGAAAATGCTAGATCTATAGTTAAAGATCCTGTTGTGTCGTCAACGATAGCTAAGATATGACCGTCATTGACCATCAACGACGGCCAAGATATGGTCGTCACTGCGACTAGATCTGGCTGTCAATGGCTAGATCTAATCGTAGATCTGACATTTTTCAGCCAGATCCAGCAGGTCATGCGTCAATACGGCGACTTCAGCCACCTCCGGCGTTGGTGGCCTGCTGCCGGTATTTAATGGGTGGGTTGGGGTATTTTTGTAATTTTTGATGTTTTTATTACAAGGGTGTTTAGTAAATTAACAAACCTAGGGGGTACTTTGTTAATTTTTAAATCCTATCTCATTATTTCCACCAAACTCTTACTTTTTTCCAAAATACTAAAACAATCTCGTTCTTTATATGAAAGTCTTGTGTTTACTCGACTCAACTCGAGTAGAGTATGTTGATGAATTTGAGTCAATTTGAACTTTGAGGAAACCCGACCTAACCAGAAATAATTAGATATTTTGTTTGATTATAATAATTTAAATAGTGAGCTTAAATATGTTATGGTAGTTTTCAACCAAAAATTGACAA